TTTTTCCTGATTTTAAGATGGAATGTTTCTTATTTTTCTGTAAGACATTTATGTTCTCTGTGAATTTGCAGGCCAGATTCTCCCTATTTGGCTTCAGTTGTCTCAGCCTCTAGCAAGAATAGCTACATGCCTCTGGTTCGATGCACTAACCATATGTGCCCAATCCGAGTTCACTGGCATGTCAAGCTAAACTACAAGAAATATTGGCGAGTGAAAGTTACAGTTACAAACTTCAATTACAGGATGAATTACTCGGATTGGAATTTAGTTGTCCAACACCCAAACTTTGACAATCTGACCCAGATTTTCAGCTTTAACTACAAGTCAATAACTCCTTATGCGACAATAAGTATGCTAATCCTGACTTATTAGTTATTATTTTTTCATATGTTCTTTAATCGTAGTGTTATTATGTGATTTGACCTGTACTTCAAGTTTTCCAAGATTTCTAAAAGACCTGCATATGTTAATCTTCATTATTATGCATGCACATTGAAAGTTGGTAATGTGTAATCTGGTTTTCTTTCAAACAGATGATACAGCCATGCTATGGGGACTAAAGTTCTACAACGATTTCCTGATGCAAGCTGGGCCTCTTGGTAATGTACAGTCAGAGCTGCTTTTCCGGAAGGATCAAGCAACTTTCACATTTGATAAGGGTTGGGCTTTCCCTCGAAGGATCTATTTCAATGGCGATAACTGTGTCATGCCACCTCCTGATGCCTATCCATGGTTGCCAAATTCTGGTTTCCGACAGTATACCTCTCTGCTTACTCTAATCATGACTTCTCTATCAACCGCTGCACTCATGTATGTTCATGCTTAACCTGACCTTGCAAGTGTTCAAATCTTAGATTTCCAAAGGGCTTAGTCGACCTCAAAATTTATGGAAGCCACTCAAAATTTTCCATGCGTTTTGGTGAAATGCTTCCACCATGAAGTTAGATGGATTCAAGTATGCTGCTGGTGTCCATTTTTGTTTCTTGATACTACATAAGAGTGGGTTACTTCTGGCTGTTGTGTTGCGTGTATATTCGTGTAGTCAACCCCTTTCGCTTGTAGAGTGACCAGGGTTTTGTAATCGTGATTGTAAATCAACAAGAATGATTAACTAGCAATTGGATCTGATCATAGTATCGATCTTACAGTTGTTTTTCGTTCTCACATCTCATATGACCGTATTGATTCAATCAAATCATGGCAGTTCTGCATTAAATTGAAGATGTCATTTGCCAAGCATTGACTCATATAGTTTTACTTGGAAGCACATAATAGTCATTCTCTAATACCTTCCCTATTGAGAAGGTTAGTTGTGACTTGTAAGCATTAACTTGTTAGGTGCAAATGCATATATAATTTTTCGAGATTGGAATTGATCTTCAAGTTGCCGGCCGTATACAAAAATATCACCAGCATTAATTTAAATTCAAATTGCAGCACAAAGCAGAATTTAATAGATCTACTTACATCTCTCAAAAAAAACAAAGATCTACTTACATGATACTATATTCCTGATGATGATAGAACATAGAAACTCAAATACCAGACTCACTCTATTCACAAGATACATATGAGTAAGACTGGTATTTGAGTGAGTCTGGTATTTGAGGCTTGTAAGGAGATACAAGCCTCTTGTTCCTTACGAGTCTATAAGTGAGTTCCAATGCTTCACAAAGAAAGAGCCCTTGGAATTTTAGTGCCTATGCTTCATTTCTATGTGCAAAATATCCTTTAGACCTTTGCTTCAAAAAACTTATTAGCCATATCGCCACAATTCCGAAACTATGCAGCCAAATCACCAAATGGCTATCAAGAAGAAAATGAATAATGAAATGAATGTTGAGAAGGAAAGTAGATTTTGATAGGCAGAGTTGGGCAGAAAGGGGTAGGCGTCAGGAGGGGGTAACTGGCACTCATCACCATTGAAGTAGACTTTGCGAGGAAATGCCCACCCTTCCTTCAAAGTGAATGTGTTCTTGTCCTTTCGAAGCAGCATCTCCGACTGAACGTTCCCAAATGGCCCAGCTTCCATTAATTGGTCGTTGAAGAATTTCAAGCCATTGAACATACCAGTGTCATCTGCATACAACATAACATGACAGCTATGTTAGCCCCTGACTATGAGAACAATGTGGAAGAGGAGATTGTTTGGAACTCACTTATAGACTCGTAAGGAACAAGAGGCTTGTAATCAAAGCTGAACACTTGTGTGACATTGTTGAGATTAGGATGCTGAACAACCAGAGTCCAAAGCGTGTAGTTCATCCGATAGTTGAAGTTTGTGATCGACACCTTCACACGCCAATAATCCTTATAGTTACGCTGCACATGCCAGTGCACTCTAACCGGGCACATGTGCCTTGTGCACTGCAGCAGCGGCTTATTGTCTTTCTTCGGAGTGTTAACTCCCACCAGGCTCAGAATTTTGGAGTCACTTCTGTAACACAATCAACATGGATCATGTTATTATTTATGCATGCATCTCTGCACAACTTATGTAATATATAGTTACTTTAGACTATATTTTGAAAATGTCCAAAAGGGTCTCATGACTTACTTGACACAATTGTCCTTGGTTTGGCAACCACAAGTACAAGGTGGACAAGGAACAACTGTGTCATTGTAGAAAGATGAGAGAGATACACAACAGCTTGGGTATTTTCTGGCCAGAATTTGTGAGTAAGTGCAGGTCACATTCCAGGTCACTGCATAAAAACATGATGATGTTAAGTTAACCAGAGTATACTTACATATCAAATCAAATATTAGAATGAAGCACTTTATAAATCTCTAGATCATCATGTCAGCTAGCAGGTAGAGGAACTTACTCAAAGCCTGAGTCTTTCTGCGTCGATCAGGTGTCAAGAAAATTGTGGGAGGCACAACTCTTGCCCTACCACAGGTGTATCCTGGTCCTGGGCCTAGCAAAGTGAAGTTCCTGGGAAGCCTCACTGTCCTGTTTGAAGTACCAGCTGATCCAACACTGAGCTGGAAGGCGGAGACAGCAGCTGAGGGGTCTTGGCCCCATGCACCTAGCACTCCACCTTTGCAACAATTTGTGAATTGCTGGTTGTAAGGAACACCAGGAAGCAAGTCCACAAATGTGGGGTTTGTCTTGCAGCAATGAGGTATGTTCCCTTTGAACCTAGAGCAGTCACCTTGCTCCGTGGCTTGAGCTCCCACCGCAGACCATATCACTTCTCTTCTAGCCCATGTCCATCCTAAAGTCCACCCGGGGCTCATGATGTGCCGATACATTTGAAAGTTGTTCAGAGTCACAACTGCCTGCAAAATACAATTCAGTGGAGGCATAGTCATTGATACACATTTTATTATGTGATGACTAAGTTCATATGCCCTCTAAATCTTTTTACAACAAATTTCTTTCAACTATAGATAAGTAACATACTCACCACATAGTCATCTGGTGTCCAAGACATGATATCCCATTTTATTGTTATGTTTCCATTTGGATCCAAGGGATCAAATGTAGCTGCATCAAACCACAAAACATGCATGAACAACAAAATTCATAAGCAGAGAGAAGTAATTTTGTTTCATTCCAAGTTCAAGTGTTCTAAGGAGGAAGAGTTTACCTGCGTATGAAAAGATGACAAGAAAGAAGAGAGCTGAGACAAAGAATCTCATCTCTGGTTCAAAAGCCTAATTACCAACTTGCCAATGATTGAATTTGGATTGTAAGCTTGAGCAATTTTGTTGAGCTGGGTTCACAGGCTTGTTAGACAAAGGCTCTGAAATCAATCACGAGCTTCTTAGTGGGCAATGGATGTGTATGTATTTAATAAAGATAGAGACTCTGGAAAGAAAAATTTATTAGCTCTCTACACAGATGGGTTACCAAATTGTTGTTAGAGACTTATAACATCTTCAATTCTCTTAGTCTCTCTCATCTGAAGACTTCTGTTTAGCTTTCCATGTCTTAAAGCAACTTCTAATGAGACCAGGCAGGGTAAAAAAATCTGCAGTGAGCACAACATCTCAACGGTCCGGATTGCAGCTGAAGGTGACAGATAATGAGGTTTGAAGTTGAAGCTAAGAAATTGGCCATACATATGTTACAGAAAATATTTAATCAAACCAGACATGTTATAATTTTGTTGTAATATATAAAATCCCACTATATTATTATACAAGCTGGTTGCTTCTGCATGGTAAGCTCGACCCATCCATAGTAATCATTTTTAGCATGTATGCCATTAGAATAATTTATGTCTTGTCTGAAATCTTGCTCTTGTCTCCAGGGTTTAAGTCAGAAGCATGAGTTTGAAAATAAGCAAAACACCAAAGTAGGGACAAGTGATGAGTCCCTTTCTGCTAGAAAGGCCACTCAACTGCTTTGCATTTAACAGACTTGAATTGGCTTTGCTTCAACAGTAAAATGTCTCTCTTTTTGGCTTTTGCAGTATTTTCCCCACTCATTTCCATGAATCATTCAATTTGAGAAGGGATTCATAGCCAAACTATTGATGAACTAGTAATTTAGGTTAGATGTAAGCATCAATTGGTCATGCAAAAAGCATAATTTATTGCATTTGGTCATAAATCAAATTCATTTATTCAGTTTTATTGCTAAATTGTTAGCTTAAAACAAGAACAGCCCAAGTGCTTCTGTAACGATGGGGTTATGTTGAGGGGTTCAACTCATCCGTACGATAATAACTCTGCAATTAATCGGATGACTATTAAGGGTCGGTTCATTATAACTCAGATTCTCATATTTCTCAATTAGTGATGATCTTTATGAAGATTTGGCTGGGGCATCTAGGCCCAGAATAGTTTTTTCTGTTTCTGGTAGACTCTAGGCCCATATTTTTATTTTTAACTTTTTGATCTGTCACGGAATTAATATTATTCTTTTAATGTTTATCTTTTGCAAATATTTGATTGCCACCGCAGAAGAACATTCTAGTGATTGGATCAAAGACTTAAATTGTCAACCCACAGGCGAAGGCTATTGCCAAATGGCCATTGAAAAGTTACGAGTTTTAGAAATCCAGAGGCTAAGCCGCTGGTTTTAGGTGGTCAAAATAGATGCAGCCCACAGTAAGTAGGATAGAGTTTCCATCTAGGACCCCTTCCTTGTTGGTGACCCCAAGTCCACATGACACTATATATACTAGGCGCACATAGAATTCCAATGTAACAGTAAAAAGCAAGAAGATAGGTTGGTGATCATCTCATTCTCATTTGAGCAACAAAGCTAGACAAGGAAGGAGATCTTTATTTCTGATGGGGCGTTGGGTTAAGCCTGAGGTGAGCAAGCTTCGGTTTGGTTTTAATTTTTTTAATAAAAAAACTTCCGTTAAATTTTCAGTGAGTTGTTTGTTTAGACCAATTGATCAGGACAGTGAGCTCGTTAAAAAAATAAATTAATTTATAGATATAAAAAAATCCCATCTGTGGGATTTTGTTTTGTTTAGGTGTACCCTCTAATGGCTGCGATGACATTTGTGACAAGCTTGTGCGCATTTCAGCTTACAAGGAACGTGTTCCTCAACCCAGATGTCAGGTACAAAATATACTTATTATTATATGCATGTATAATTAAAGGGTCCTCCTAATTACATTAAACTTGTGATTAATGAATGAATTTAATTAACTTGCAGAATCGACAAAGCTAGGCGTGGAATGGGAGTGCTGGAAAACAAGGAAGAGGGAGAGAAGTATGCAGAGCATGGGCTGCGCAGGTTCCTCCGCACCCGCCGGCCTGAGATCATGCCTACCATCAACAAATTCTTCTCTCAAGACGAATGATATATCTATAATCTATTCTATTCTGTATGATTACTTGTGAAAAGTTTACTTACTTGGGTTGGGATTTGTAACGTTATGGGTTCTTTTGTTTTAATTTGTTTTGGTGATATTCTGTAGTTATGTTTATCAATTATACTTTAAAGTTAATTCTTATTTTTTAAAGAAGAAGCATCCCCTAATTCAATTCATGATTCTTCTTCTTAAATAAATATTTCTTGACTAATAACAGTTGGTTAAACCAGTTGGGTCTCTCTACACCTAAGTTTGAATACTCTACGCGTAGATTAGACTAAATTAACTTACAGTAATTTAGGCTATCGCTTATATAACATAAATATATCTATTCTGTATGATTACTTGTGAAAAGTTTACTTACTTGGGTTGGGATTTGTAACGTTATGGGTTCTTTTGTTTTAATTTGCTTTGGGCCAATTTAATTATGTTTTGGTGATATTCTGTAGTTATGTTTATCAACTATACTTTAAAGTTAATTCTTATTTTTTAAAGAATAACCATCCCCTAATTCAATTCATGATTCTTCTTCTTAAATAAATATTTCTTGACTAATAAGAGTTGGTTAAACCAGTTGGCTAAAGCAATGAGCTCGTCTCTCTACACTTAAGTTTGAATACTCTACACGTAGATTAGACTAAATTAACTTACAGTATTTTAGGCTATCGCTTATATAACATAAATATAAAAAATATATATTACATGCCAAAAATTGCGTCAACGATGGGCTCGGTTTGGGCTATAATATTTTGTTATTTTGGGTTGCTGCCCAACACTCAAACCTCTTGCACATTAGCCTCTAAAATTCTTCTTAAATTAAATACTTGAGCTATGGACTCGGTTTTTTGTGGATCGGCCCAGGACTATTGCTTTCTAGGCCTTTTGTTAATTTCTAAAGAACATTAATCTTGTTCAGTTGAATTGTATTAGAATTTACAGGGATGCCGATAGTCATGTAATTGATTGTAATGGGATGGGAAGGATGCTAAGTATATCCTCATATATATTAATATATGGTCTAAAAATATATTTGCATTACCATATATGGTAACTGCTGATTAACATGGATTTGTTTCCTTATCCTACATTTCCATTTTTTCTTTTTTTTTCTTTGAGTGCTGTTATTTCCACCACCCTGTTATATTTATTCACTCACCTTATCTTCTCACTCACCATGTAAATTTGAAAAAACACACTCATATCTTTCCACCCACCATTATTCTTAAAATACTCTTTAATTATTAATTCAAGTAATCATTAGTTTGAGACATATGGAGATGATCAAGTTGTGTTTGCAGGACTGGATCAAATTCACGAGTCGTACGCTTTCCTTTTTCTTTTTTTCTTTTTATCAAACAGTAGAATAGGTGGGTTATATGAGTTGAGGTTTTTCCCCTAAATTCTTAGAAGTCATTTTACATAAAGATTAAAATTATCTTTAAAATTTTGAAGATAAAGTGAATAGAAAAAGAGGACGAGTGGTGAAAATAGCAGCACTCTTTTCTTTTTTTCTCCTTAGCCATGAGTCAATTTTTCACGGAGTTTGAGTGACGTGTCAAACTAATGAATTATGGGAGCGAAAGTTAAATGATCCGTTACGGTTCGAATGATTTTGGCCTAAACCATAATTTTTAATCTATTTTCATCTTCGTCTCACCAACGTCTTTGTTGTGAATTGTGATTGGATTTAATCATATACAGCCAATTTCCCATTTTAATCATTTGGATTTCAGCATTTGTATCCAAATCCAATCCATATAATTATGTATCCCCAGCCTCAGTTTTAATTCCTAGCAAAAGTTCTGCCGAGTTCTTCGTTTTCTCAGCCGAAACTGAGAAACCCAAGCTGCTCACCAAAACCCAACAAACAGATACATTATTTCCTTTCTTCTTCTTTGTTTTGTTTTACAAATATGAAGGCTCGGCAGAACTTGCTTTTGATGATCATAGCTAGTGCAGCGGTTTTCAGCGTTGCCACAGCTTGCTCCAATGGGCAGTGCAAGGTTTGTGCCTGCCTACCCTTTTTCATTATGAATGAATGTTTGTGACAGGAAAAAGAAAGAGTAAAGCTTTATGTTTTTGTGGTTTGAATGTGTAGCTTTTAGAAGCATGCTCGTCAGACGGAGATTGTGAGGCAGGGCTTTTCTGCTCCTCTTGCCCAGAAGCCTTTTCCGGCTCTAGATGTATAAGATCAACCATTACAGACCAATTCAAGCTTTTGGTATGTCTATCTCTCTCTCTCTCTCTCTCATACACACTCACATACAGAGACTTTGTGAAGTTTCTCTCTCTCTCTCTCTCTCTCTCTCTCTCTCTCATGCACACTCACATACAGAGATTCTCATACACACTCACATACAGAGACTTTGTGAAGTTTCTCTCTCTCTCTCTCTCTCTCTCTCTCTCTCTCATGCACACTCACATACAGAGATTCTCATACACACTCACATACAGAGACTTTGTGAAGTTTCCAACTTTACAAGACAATACCATGAAAGGAAAAAAAACAGAGATTTTGGAGGACATGGGTCCACCATATTGATGCCATGGAATCCATCCAATCCAAGCATGACTTTTGCCGGCTCTTTCGGATGTCACAACAACTGAACAGAACACAATGGCCCTACCAAACCCATTCCTTGGGCTTTAGAACATTAGTTTGGGCCTTCACATGGCCCATTTGGACCCAATAAGGTGTAATATTTTGATTTGTTTGTTGTCTTTTTGTTATTTGCTGCAATGCAACAGAACAATTCTCTGCCATTCAACAAGTATGCGTTTTTGACAACCCACAATGCTTTCGCTATTGAGGGAGAGCCTTCTCATACTGGAATTCCTCGCGTTACCTTCACAAATCAAGAAGATACTATCACTCAACAGCTAAATGTATATATGCCTTGTGCCTTTCTCAATTCTATTTAATTTGCTGCTTAATTTATAACATGACTTGTTTCACTGAACTTTCTGAACATCATTTTGTGTGTCATCTTCATGGAAAATTTACAGAACGGGGTTCGAGCCTTAATGCTCGATACGTATGATTTCAAAGGAGATGTGTGGTTGTGCCACTCTTTCAATGGAAAATGCCATGACATTACTGCATTTGTAAGCAAACCCAGTTGCCCCATTTCATTCTTTTTTGTAACATATGTTTGTTTGTTTGTTTTTTTTTTGGATTAAGAAAGTTGCTACTTAATTAATAGGAACCAGCTATAGATACCCTCGAGGAGATTGAAGCATTTTTATCTGCCAACCCAGCAGAAATTGTCACATTGATATTAGAGGACTATGTTGAAGCTCCAAATGGATTGACAAATGTCTTCAAAGCTTCTGGGTTGATGAAATACTGGTTTCCATTGACAAGCATGCCCAAAAATGGTCAGGACTGGCCACTGGTTAGTGACATGGTTGCTAAGAACCAAAGACTACTTGTATTTACTTCAAAAAGTGCCAAGGAACAATCTGAAGGGATTGCATACCAATGGAACTACATGGTTGAAAACCAATGTAAGAACCCATCAACCAACTTCAAATTTTTTACTTCTTTACTTCTTCTGAGTCTTACTTTGAACACAGATGGGGATGGTGGAATGAAGCCAGGAAATTGTCCAAATAGAGGAGAATCAGCACCTCTAAATGACATGACTAAATCATTGGTGTTGGTTAATTATTTTACTTCCATTCCCATCAAGCAAATCAGCTGTGCAATTAACTCTGGGGATCTGATTAAAATGCTCTACACTTGTTATGGTGCGGCTGGCAACCGATGGGCTAACTTCGTCGCTGTCGATTTTTACAAGGCATGCCTTTTTTTTCCCACTGTTTAATTTTTTGGTTTTGAATGAAACCAGAGAAATTTTATTCACACAATGCTTGGTTTCTGATGCAGAGGAGTGAAGGAGGAGGGTCGTTTCAAGCTTTAGACAATCTGAATGGGGAGCTCTTGTGTGGATGCAATGATGTCCATGCATGTGTGGTAAGCTATAACAAATTTTGATTGCATGAAGATAGTTTTTTTATATTATTTTGTTTTATTTTATAACAATTTATGTGTTTGATTGCAGCCAGGATCACCTCCTGGGTCTTGCCAGCCATAGCAGAGACGATAGAAATTCATGTAATAAGCTTAAATCCTCATCATGAGAATTGTATTAATCTCGGGGAACTAGCATGATTTGTAATTGATTTCTATAAACTGATGTGTTAAAAATCATTGTCGTTTCATCGCTTCATAGAGGAAAACAATATGTTGTGTCGTCTGTCGTAGGCCTTGAAAATGCTTGGCCCACGGGTCTAAAAACGTGGGCTTCTCCAAACTCGAAAACGTTAGCATCCAATACGAATGTTCCTTAAAAAGATGGTTTCATTTCATGTGCATTGCACCAAGATGAGAAATTTTAAGGTGTCTTCTGATTCCTTATTTCCGGCGACCGTTTATGAAATTTGAACTCACGAACTGTTTCAACAGAATAAAGACTAACTCGAATTTTATTAACCTGCACAGTTTAGTACCATTAATTTGAAGTTTGAAGTAAATATAGCAATATTCTAAACATTTGTGGAAAGGAAACCTGTAATGATTTCCAACTGTCTTTTGGAGAGAGAACATTCTGAGAAGAAAAAGAAAAGCCCCTAGTGATTATGTTTCTAAATGGAATCCTTCGCTATATATATTATATATATATATTTGCTGCTTGAACATCGAATCAAAATCCCAAAATTTTGGCTTTTATTAGTGTATTTCCATGCTGTGTTGTGAGAAGAAAGGGGCACAATGATAGAAAGTGGGAGTAATTAGATAATAGAAAGGAAAATCCTGAATTATCCTTTGATGCATATTATTTGTAATGGGAACCAACCAACCACTACTGATAGTAAATGGGATCGCACCTTATTTAGTCCAGGTTTTGTCTCTTCCAATAATTGAGTAGTACTACATCCGTCTATATCCAAAACCACTTTTGGTTTTGTTCCACTTAATTCCCTCTCTTTTATGACAAGATTGCCGGATTTAAGATGTTCCCATAAATTCAAATTACAATCTAACAATTTCAGACCAAAGTAAGTTTTAGAAATGATCCGTGACCGTCACGTCGTGTTTTTATTATATAGGTGGATTGGTAACATCCCGTGACGGTCATAACTTGTTTGAAGTGGATGTCACCTTCACTGAATGATTAGTTTCATATGGGGCAGTATTTCCACACATAGCAACAAAATGATGGATAATCGAACCTTAACCCGGAGAGAGAGAGAGAGAGAGAGAGAGAGAGAGAGAGAGAGAGAGAGAGAGAGAGAGAGAGAGAGAGAGAGAGAGAGAGAGAGAGAGAGAGAGAGAGAGAGAGAGAGAGAGAGAGAGAGAGAGAGAGAGAGAGAGAGAGAGAGAGAGAGAGAGAGAGAGAGAGAGAGAGAGAGAGAGAGAGAGAGAGAGAGAGAGAGAGAGAGAGAGAGAGAGAGAGAGAGAGAGAGAGAGAGAGAGAGAGAGAGAGAGAGAGAGAGAGAGAGAGAGAGAGAGAGAGAGAGAGAGAGAGAGAGAGAGAGAGAGAGAGAGAGAGAGAGAGAGAGAGAGAGAGAGAGAGAGAGAGAGAGAGAGAGAGAGAGAGAGAGAGAGAGAGAGAGAGAGAGAGAGAGAGAGAGAGAGAGAGAGAGAGAGAGAGAGAGAGAGAGAGAGAGAGAGAGAGAGAGAGAGAGAGAGAGAGAGAGAGAGAGAGAGAGAGAGAGAGAGAGAGAGAGAGAGAGAGAGAGAGAGAGTGAGAGAGAGAGAGAGAGAGAGAGAGAGAGAGAGAGAGAGAGAGAGAGAGAGAAAGAAAGAGAGAAGTGTGTTTTTTTTATTTCACATTTTCATGGGCATGTTGTGGATTTGTTTGTTTAATACTATATTCATGTATTTTATGTCATTTTGACTATTGTGTTCGTGGAGTACTCTTGTCGTCAACGCACTACTCAATGGCAAAATTGATTGAAGAATTCCTCAAACTCTTATTATATATATTACCTCAAAGCATATGTGTTTCTTAAGCTTCTTTTTCTCACTCTCTCTCTCTCTCCTTCTCCTTCCTTTTGAGTTTAAAAATAAAGAGTGAAAAACCATATGAGATTAATTAGCATTCTATATTGGACCCGTAACTTATCTTAATCCTAACTATTTTCCTCATTGCGTAACATGGCAGTGTAGGTCCAATACTACTTCGATCGATGCGTACCTAACAATACAACAAAGAACAAACAAGTTGTATAGTATTACTAATAGATGTTCGTTTTTGTGAATGAAATTGAAAGAATTTGTAACGAAATGAAGTGATGGTTAGGCAATGTGGGTAGGGGAAAGGGGGGTTTGGTTGGGGGGGTGATGGATGATATGGATGGATCATTCACTAGGACAGGAGCTAACTGTGTGGTACTTGTCAATGTGTGTAATGTATATATATTTTTCCACAAAGGTACCAAGGACGATTACGATACACCCACGAGGGGGTAACATGCAAATGGGGATATCTATATCTCGTTTCCATAATTCCATTGTTGTTTGTTAATGCATATAACTACACCACAAACACTAGACAACCCAGCCCCAGCCCCCTCCTGTCTGCCTCTGGTGTTGTGTGGGGGAAGAGAAAAGCCCCACGCCACAAATTTCATCCTCCTTGTGGCCAAGCAGCCACCCGATCACGTGGGTTTGGGCACCCATGCCCACAAATAAGAAACCCTAATAAGCTTACCTAATCTCCCCTCTCAACTCAACTCACTCACTTGTATTTGCTAGCAAGCTCAACGCTATTTCGTTTCACACAAGTTTTTTTTCGATGCAAGAACTCAACGAGCCTGATAGTCTCTCTCTAGAGATTATGATAGTATTGAAAAGAATCATATATATATGTAGATATATTGAAATACATAAGATATATATACATGCAACATATATAAATAAATAATTTATTTAAAATATGATGACAAAGTGGGAGGGAAAGGTCGAATGAAAGAAACAACAGCAAAGACAAGCAATTATGCATCACTCACAACAAATTGGCTATGGGGGACCCCCTTCACACATGGGGTGGGGGTGCGCACCCTTCTGCTGTGGAGCCAACCTAGCTACCTAAAGTTTTCTCAGAATCTTTTTCCAAATTGTTGCTTGGATATGGAAGTTGGAACTTGCAAAACCACATATAATACATTAATTCCTCTGTTTGATCATCAGTTTTCATCATTAATTAACAATATTAATTTCTGAATAAAGATCGAGCTGGCAGCTTTGATATCTAAGTTTTATAGCTTGACAGATTTGTCTGTCTAGAGCGGCAGAGATCGGTGCACGTACAAATTAAAGAGAAAGGAACGCACGAGTTTGCATGCAGTACAAATTTATTTTCTTTCTTTTCTGAAACAATGTAGTAGTTAGGCTTTTATTGTGGGCATTTAAGTAGCCGAAAGTTTATTGAAGTAGGATAGAAAAAGCAAGCTCGAGTTTATATCAGCGCAGGTACGTCCATGGCCGTAGATCAGCACGCGTGACTGCTTCTCTGCAACCCAAAGGACTTCAATTCTCGTCCCTTCTAGTCCATGCGTGACTGCTTCTCTGCAACCCAAAGGACTTCAATTCTCGTCCTTCTAGTAACTAGAAACTAACATTATATCATGATTAATTATGCGTTAAACCATAATTGCATTTGATTAAACTATATTTTTTCTTCTTAACAATGTGAAGTTATCTGTATAATTTTGCAAGTGTTTGTTTTCGTTAAAGAAAATGCTAGACTTACCACATTTTATACCATATTGTGTACCCACCTCTATAGCATTACCCGTTGGTTTGTGAGTTTTTAATGAACCCCATGTCATGTACGTATATTACGTAGAATCCACCAGACAATGGTGGGTTCCAAATTCATAGGAACGATTGAATCTCTTTGTTGGGTAGAATGAGAAATAATCAAGTTTGGTTAGGTGGATCTTGCTCCTAGGGGAAAGACACGTGTTGTGATCCCAATAAGGTAGCTTGCTTTCGCCTAATCACTCACTTACCATAAAGGAATATTAATAGTATTTACAGTCTAAGCACGTATTAGAGGAGTTAATTACATTGACATCTGATTTCCCTCGTTGAAAAATGAAGCAAACTCAAACCCATTAAGATAGCCAAACAGGAGGTATGTACCAAGCCCTAATCCTTTTATGCATGTACCCAAACACAAAGATACGTGACTTGTCCAAACTCCAAACAGATTTGTTATTGTCGACGACAGAATTCAAAATATTGCTGCAATTAATGAGCAACTTATGGCTTCTTCTGGTTCTCACATATTTATCGACGGTAACTTAGTAAGATACCGTATTATGACCACGTGGTATAATTAATGAATATGCAATAATACAAGTGGATATATTTTTTAATATTAATACTCTAAAAGTGAGATATATCAATCATGTTGTCCATCCATTTTATAATACGTGAATAAGTTATACAATAAGAACGTACTACGATATTATTATATTTCTCCGGAGTAACAAATGGAAGGTTAATAACAATTATTGGCATTAACCCGGAAGTAAAGCAGTAAAGAGGTAAAAGAAGTGAGAAGTATGTGGTATGTGTGGTGGGTGAAGGAGGTGACAGTTTGCAAAGAGACAAGAGAAAAGAGGGGGTGAAAAAAAAATATCAGAAGTTCAGGCGGGCAGGCAGGCAGGCAGGAGGAGGGTGGGAGAGGGAGAGAAAGAGAAGCAAGCAAAGAACAAATCAATCAATTCAGGATTCAGCGAATAAAACAGGTGCACGTGGATAGACCTACCACACGTGCACACAATCATCATATGGGAATGGGAATGGGTTTTGTTTTGTGGTTCTGGATAAAGACGTCAAGAACTACAAAACAAACACAGAAACAAACACACATCATTTTACTCTCTCTTTCTTTCTTCTGTATCCTTTGGTCTTTTGAGGACCCGTGTACTTCTGCAGCTGCACAATTTATTTATTTTATTAATTTTTTTTTATTTATATATTTGAGTTGGGAAATGAGATTGTGAGTCTCAAGACGCTTTCCAGTCACATTGGCATATGTAGTTGACACTCGACACTTTACACCGTCCGTTGTAATTTTGACTTTACCATTTCACTTTTTCTTTTTCAGAGTTCTTCTTTCACATTTACTCTCTTTTAAATCATTTCATCCAAATACACAAATTGAAAAGTTTCTGGATACTATTTCTCTC